TTCTCTAATATTTGCAGGCTGCAAAAGAAAAGGGGTTTTCATGGCTACAATTGAGAGTGAATTTTTCAAAAGGCGAGATAACCTGTTTTTTCCCACTGAATATTACACTGCAAATGTAAACTTTCATTCATTCATAAGCAAATGAATACTGTTTTTCTCGGAAAATGCTGGCAAGTAATTGGCTATGAAGTGTGCAAGCATCCTGTTTTCTAAGAATTATGAGAAACATGTTTTGGCACGTCGATACCTCCATGTTTGTCGCCCCATTCCCGAAATTCGTGCTTGGCTGCACGTCCGAACCTGTGCAGCCCCGGTTTCATGTCAGCGTTATTTCGATTAGCGCGCGCACCTGGTGCCGCTTGATTTTTTCCTGCTCTCATCATTGACTTCGGTGCCCAGGACGCCGATTGATCTGCACCAGCTTGTGATGGAAGCTAAAATCGTGTTATATAGTGTACTTCTGTAACTGTGACAAATATAAATCTATTTATAATTGAATTCCGGCACGCACTGGTAAATAGCATCACTCTCTGTTGGTGAAGGACAAGAATTTGACTACTCTACAATGATAATCAATACCTTATTGATTCATTCGTTTCGGGGGAAAATTGATAATAATGCATGTCAGGTTATCGAAGTTTTCATCAGCCTGCTTTTAAGCAACCCGCTAAAAAAGACAGCCACTGAGAGCCTTGTCAGCCAATAGTTGCTGTTCATATGTACCACCATTCGGACGTAAATCGAGTGCCTTCTGCTACTTAGAAAGAGCAAATTAATCCAATTTTAACCTATTTTTTTAACTAAGTCATGGCTTCGAATAACTGATTGTTACCACTTGCACACTCATAATCAGTAGCAGTCTGGAACGTTTTTACTACAAGTACAAAAACCGGGTTTGCTTTTTTTCTAGAAATTACAAACAAATGAGAAAAAGCACTGAAAGGTGCAAGAGCGAACGGACCGGTTTATGCAACTGTACAGCAGCATGAGGCAGATTGTTGAATGACTGATACTCGAAGAAATGCTTCGCCAAAAAATTCATTCCCTGCAAATTTCTCACAGATTCTATCCCAAGAAAATTGGATTTATAAAAGTCTTGGCTATTCAAACATTTTGCAGCATTTTTCCAACTGGTTGTGAGGAAGCGCTGAACTACCAGGGCAAGAAGGCAATTTGAATGCGAGAAGGAGATGAGAAATTTAGGCCTTGCAAGCAAAAATTCACTCTGTGCAGTAAACAAATGAGCGCGGGTGAGCACTGAAGCACCCAGGCATATTGTTAAACGGAGGGTGCACGGATGCATCAGTCCACGCAAACAGTAACCACACTGCCCCAAAATATTTTTCACTCGAAGATTGCACAGATAAGTTTTT